ATATATATATATATATATTATTTAGTATATTTGTTATTTTATATATACGAATATATAGTTGATCATTTATAGCAATCTCTTTTACAAAAAGTGTTACATAATTAATATCAGTTTTTTTAAATATATTGTTTTTACAAAAATCTTGTAGTTAGGACGAATCAACATTTAGTTTGCACTGTTTCTGCTTGATTGTTGACTATTAAGATTGGTTGATACAAGACTTTTAACTATTCTGCTAGACTGCTACCTGTTACCAATCAACCAAGTCATTTGGTCTAATTCTTATTGATTGTTGACTCTTGAGAATGGTTAATACAAGGCATTTGTTCTTGCATATGGATAACAATTGCAAATAGTTCTTTGTTCTTATATATGTTTAACAATCGCCTAACTCTTGGATATATCAATTATGTTGTCCAATATAAATATAATAATGATTCCTTGATCCCGCATATGCATTAAAATGACAACCAATATAGGATCAAAATTAAGAATCCATTTCGGTTGTAGGTAATCCAATTTTGATGGCAGGTTAAAACACACCAAAAGTATGTTCTTTTTCTTGAAATCACAAGTGAAAAAACAATAGAGAAGGAACACAAGAATAGTTTCCAATCCAAGAATCCAATGATCACAATGTATCTTAAAACTAAACCAAGAATCCAATGATTACACAATTTGGAGTATGTAAATTAACTCTAATATGTGTCCCAGAGAAATAAACCATGCATGGTAACCATAATGATCACTAATGATGGTGTCCCAATAAGATAAATATATGTTGAATGTCACAAATAAACTCAATTAAACATGGAAAATAAAGAGAATCAGATGCAATCAACAATAATCGATTGGATCAAGCAATTTATGAACAATAAACATATTAGAATTGCCCTTTATATACCGATTTAGGGCTTGTAGAAGAGAAAAACTAATGACATATGTGTTCGATCTCTTGTAATGGATACTTCTTATTCTTCCTCTGAATCGTTGATATCAAACTCAAGATCTACAAAGAAGATATTTGATGATGCAAACTCTTGTGGATGTGGACGCCCTCACTACAAATAAAATGACATTTAGTGGCGTAAGAAATGTGTCACTAAAAAATGAAAAAGTGCCACTAAAGGCCCCTTGCGCAACCAGTGGCATAGAAAAAATGTCACCAGCACGCTGTCACTAAAAGCCTATAGTGACACTTTTTGGTTGTGTCGCTGCAGCCTTTTTTGTTTTAGTGGCACTTTTCTACCATGCCACTACAACACTTGTAGGTTTTAGTGACACTATTTTTATACAACTATTAAACTGCTAAAATAAATATTATTTTCATGCTTTTAGTGACCATTTTTAACAAAAAAAAGTATTAATAAATCAGGTCCGAAATTTTCTAATTTTAAACAAAATATAAAATAATAATAAGACCATTACGATAATAAATGGGGCACACAATATCATTACTTTAGTTAAAACTTGTCTACCAACAAAATTTAAAATATTTAACATATAAATACTTCAACAAAGTTCAATAAGTCTAAACATTGTGCTCCTCTTGGATCAATAACTTGTACATTCTTCTTTAACTTCACCACATATTGTACATTTTCACTCGTATATAACAACACAAAACAACATACATATTCTTTAATATATTTATAATATAATCAAATAAAAATTGATTTCATTAACTAAAAAACTTGTCTGTTTACCGGGAGCATCTACTTTTCCTTTATAATCGTGGCTTGTAACAAGCTCTTCAATTACAAGTCCATTAGACAGTGTCTTTTTGTTACATTGTTTTTGAAGCTCCATGTTTATGTTTCCTCACATTCATGTGTCTTTCTTCTTTCCAGTTAATTCTTTTCCTCTAACTGATTTCCAGAACTCCTACTCATGCATGCATTGGTAATATATATGCTTTAATACTAGAATTTAAAATCATTGTGTATTCCAACACATATAATTGTGTCAACATCAAGAAAATTATTAAAATCAATCCGCGTATTAAAAACACTTAGAAGTTCATCATACTTATCAAATGTTTATTCATCATCCTCCTATTTATCCTTTGCAGCCAAAACCTCAAGTGAATTGTCATGTGCTTTTCTCTTTTTCTTTGGTTTCACAGTATCACTTCAGTAGATTCTAGCACCTCAACTAAATTCCCAACACCTGTACTTTATAAAAAAAACAAATCAAAAGGTAATTATTCATCTTTTGACATACTCGTTAAGGTCAATACATATACATATGTTTGAACAAAAAAAACTATATAATAAGCTCAAAACTATTTAAAAAAACCTATCTTCAACTTAAAATACCATATTTACCAATGTTTAGTGCAAACTTACATTTTCTGGTCACATAAGAGGAAAACCATAAGAACCAGCAATAACGAACCGACCATATGCTACCCCGACTCATTCTAACTTCGTTTTATCTTGAAAATGTGAATCAAAGTACCTTCCAATATGGCATAGACATATAGAAGAAAACCCATAAAAGGAAAAAAGACGAATAAGGGTATCATGGGGAATAGCTTCTGAAAGATGACCTATAAATAATGTAGTCGATGTTTTCTAATGGATAATATTGTTGGATTAGGTGTCTAAGCCCATAACTATAATTGGTATGTACTTGACCCGAGAGTGGCATGGTCCATTTGGGTTGCCTTCACCAGAACAATCTGATAGGATGGATATATGAGAAAGAGGTTATTTATGATTTATTAATATATTAAAAGTATAATATAGTAATTGTGAAATCATAATATTTAATTAGTATTGATAAAGAATTAATTTGGAATTAATTTAGTGATCAAAAGAGACTAATTAAATTAACGGGGACTGATTATGTAAATCAGTGACATATATATTGGTTGGGCTATTGAGCCATGATGGGCTAAGTTTGTGTAAGTATCCATGAAGAGTTAGCCCACATGAGATATGGATCATAACCTAAGTGTATGGATTAGGGTTTACCCATGACTCTTGGAATCCTACACTATATAAATGTTACCCCTTAGCCAAAATCGGGAACCCTAAGGATTCTAATGAGTTCTAAGAGAACCCTAGCCAATTTTGGTGGTGCTTAACCTCTCTATCAAAGTCCGCCTTGGTTCATGGTGTTTGTGAACCATTTAAGGCATCACACTTGAGGTGCTAAGCTCTTGAAAGGCCAAAACTACAAGCTACAATAAAGAGGTATTCTTCTAATTTGATTTTATGATTCATGTACCAAAATTGTATGCTAGTTGTAGGCTTCATGCATTGGAAATTTAATTGCATGTATAACTAGAGAAAACATAGGTCCAAAGCTATTAGGGTTGTATGTGCACCATAGGAGTGTTATAGTACACAAAATCCAACAGTGGTATCAGAGCCATGGGTAGTTTTCTGTTATATAGTTGCATTGTTCATTGTTCAAAGTTGAAGCAAACTGAAATTGGCCTTCTGCCAGGCTGAACTCGCCGAGTCCATTGATGAACTCAACGAGCTCATGATGAACTCGATGAGTCCAAAGCCTAGCTCGACGAGTTGCACTGGTAGATGGCAGATTTTCGGGTTTTTTGGCCTATATTGGATTAGGATCACTACCACAAACTGTTTTGTATCATAAAATCTATTTTTTCTGATATGGTAG